ACATCGAATGCCCGCTAACCCAGCGGTAGCAGTGTCTGGTGCGGTAATGACTCTGATGGGTCCAGCGCAGATCTCTAGAACAGTTTCATGTTGATGCGTTTCAAAGAACATGATTCACATCTGCTGGGTACATGCTTGTGCGGCTAATCGTGAATTTGACTACTGTACATAGTCATAGCACAATTGTACAGTATTGCAAGTCCATTGCGTAATGCGGCGATACCACTACTAGTGATGAACTACTGTATGACAGAGACACGTCGACACACGGCCATGGCGATCTGCTCCCGTTTCGTAACCACAGCGAAGATGTCAGCCATCTACTGACCTCCATCGGCAGTCACCGCTCGCTCCATTATGAGGCGCCCCTCACCAACAGGGTTAGTTGAATTTTTGTGCAAAGGCACAGTGCCACGGAAGATCTTAGCTCAGCCCATTGTCATTGTACGGTAATTCCAGCTAAGCACAGATGAGCGAGCATACACATACACACACGCACAGATTTTGTATTGTGCTTGTGTAAGAACACGAGGTATGGCATACAGCACAGGCACCACTGGGCGGATTGGGGTGTGCAGCCGGCCACATCCGCATGATCATACAGACCGTGATAAGCTGCTAGGTGTGTCCACAATTCCGCCCTCGGGCATATGTGGCGTCATGGTCTCTAAATCAAGGCCCTTTAAGATGATGACGCCACGTATGACAAAGGTCTTGCCAGCCTATCATAGTATGCCAGGCCGGATCGAGGTTTGAAATATTAAATTGCTCCAGACCACGTTGATCATAAGAATCTTGGCTTGACTTACAGCCCCGTGAACGGTTATGCAAAATTTATAACTAGAACATGCAGTCGGGATCAGGGATCAGGAATTCAGAAGACCGTAGACCTATGGCATTCGACTGGAAGCGGTTGCTGTAGTCGAGATCATACGTCGTTATTCGGTAAGACGGTGGACTCTGCCAGATCGAGATTTGAAACCAGAGTTACTGAATGATCGGCTGTCCATAGTAATTGGCCGATTCGGCTTACCCCCCACTCCTCTAGGCTTCCACATGTCCACATGTCAACATGGTCATAAGTAGCCATCTACATGTAACTACATAGCCTACAGGTGCCTAAGTATCATATCGGCTGGGCGCAATGATGAAGGGAGTGATGAAGGGAGTGATGAAGGGAGCCTGTCTCCTGGGAAATGGAATGCCAGTATTGACTGATAACAGTATTGCCATCGTATTGCATATAGTTAGTTAGTTGACAGCCTGCATTATAGTGAGCTTGGCACTGCTGTCCGCTCCGTCTCACTGCTCCGTAGCGTTGGGGGCGTCTTGGGACTATCATCACTGAGTAAGGATGGGGTTGTGCCTTCATGGGGTCGGTGTGTGTGTGTGTGGGGGGGGGGGGGTACTCACAGTATTACACTGTATTTGTAATACCATTATTACGACTGCATGGAGCTCAGCCTTTCATTTCATGCATGACATTATTGTATACGTTGCAAGTCGCAGTAGCAGCAGGTATTGCATCAGGGATTTTGGAGCATTGAAAATGAAACACTTCGGTGGCCAAACAAGGCGAATTCTGCACAGACACACCGTATTAGTAAAACAATACATCCGTGCCTTATTACACGAGGGACTGCACCGCCTCCGCTCAGCGAGCAGACCTGTTTTGGCAGCAGGCAGAATCACCCGATTCGATCACAATCAGCTGCTGTCTTTGTCCAGGAGAGAGTTAGACAAGCAATAGGCATACATGCACATGCACCACATGTACATCATACAGTAACTGTTGTACATCACTACATGCCTCGCCCAATCAATCTCTACGCATGTACATTGTACATGTTGAGTCATAGGAGTCATGTACCATGGAGTAAGATTGACATACCGTTTTGCGGTGGACACGAATCAGTGCAATATGTACATAACACCAATGGCATTGTGTACATGCTTTGATAAGAAAACTCACTGAGATAGCCATTGCAAGCAGGAACGCCAGTGGCAGTGAGCGATGCTGCCGTTAGTGCTACATTATTAATGCATGTCTATAACAGTACTATCACCACTGAGTATCACCAGTATCACAAGTACTGTAGTATCACCAGTATCGGTCAATAAAGATCTACGCTGCCAGTATCGGTCACACCGCTAAGTTTCAGTTCCTTGTCTACATGAGAACGGGTTTATTCACCAAGCCAATCGCGTCAAACCATAAAGCAGGAACCAAAGCCAAAAAGACAACCTCGTCCACTAGGGCTTTTTCATTATGTACACTGGGTAGACCATGGTAGACCCGCCATGATGGGGATTCTGGCATACACCATGTACCATGATGGCATGAGTGTGCAACCAAGGATCTATGCACTAAAGCTATCAATATCATCAATCTTTAAAATTAATACGTTACGTAGGTGGGGCTTTAACCAAAGGTAAGTGCTGCAACTGTTATATCTGCTAGGCAGTATGAACGCGTAGGCATGGAGCTGAGCTGCAGTGACTGTATATAAGCCCGTAAAAGGCTCGACATCATCATTAGGGAATACCGATCTGAAGCATTACTTGTGATGTTACGTTTGTCGTTAGCCCAAGTCTGATGGCTCACGCTAAGTAATTAGGGTTCCACTGGGAGAGCTGACACAAAGGACATTCGGCAAACCCATAACAAGGACAGGTACACGATACTGACGGGAACAGGTACTGACAACAAGCACGCGCTGCTGTAAGTACGAATAACGGGTTTACCGTGATAAGTCGGAACATTGACCACCGCCAGTCCCGAAGGCACAGCGGCAGCACATTGAATAGCAGGATGGAGCAATAAAGCGTCTTCCGTCAGCGCAAGCCCTAGCCTACCGGGCCTAGCTGTTGAAGCGATACGGCTTGTGCTAATGTGGAACTAGAGAATTGGCTGGAGGACATCATGCGTATGTGCATCACCTTCGGCAAACAACAAGACTGTGACGAAGAAGAATGAGACGGGGTTCAGACTCCCGTGCACATACATGTACACGTAGATTTGAATTAAAAGAGTGTCAAGACAACACCAATAATCGGTGACCACACTGTCGTTTGACGGAAGGCACGAAATGAAGTGGAAGTCTTCATTATACCAAGTACTTGTACAGCCATGCTAGGCATTATACCGTATTTCCCCGAATATAAGTCGCACCTTTTTACACGAAAGTTCAAGGGTAAAAAAGGGGGTGCGACTTACAATCGAGCGTGACATACTACTGAATTCAATATATCAAGCCAATATAGCTCAAACCTGAAAATGGGGGTGCAACTTATAATCGGGGAAATACGGTGCTACCAAGAGTGGATAACCACCTGGTTATGTACTCTTGGTAGTAGCAATGAGGTCACTACTAGCCCTACTTTGCTACCCAATGCTGTAGACAGCAAACTGTTCGGCCAAACATGTACATGTATATGCCTCATCAGTACAGCTACGAGCTTTACATGTATGTAAGCCGAGCGAGCGATGCGTAATGCAACAGCACTAGAGCAGCCTACCGAGAGTGCTCAACAAGACGAATGTCGAGGAGCGCAAGACCCAATGCTGTCGACAGCAAGCTGTTTCGGTCATATTGGCCTCATCAGTACAGCTACGAGCTGCCGGCCATGATGCAAAGGTGGAACCACAGACCACAAACCCAATTTTTTTATATTACACCTATATTTTTTCTTCCAATAACACTACACAGGGCATTGTGGTTTAGGGCCTGGTCAGACTGCGGCAAAATCGAAATAATCCTAGGATTATAATCCGAATCTCCATAGTAACTTGCCGCCAGAGCGGCAAAAGCGAGAGTTGACGCTCCAAAAAAAAAGCAAGAACGGACCACGCTTTTCCGCTCCAAACAGGATTTGACGCTGATACGCCATTGACGCTGATAATCACTGATTTTTTCATCTCGATATCGAGGAGCTAATTGGCCACGGACAACAACAAAACTCATGAGGATGGTTGCAAGGATTGCACTGAAGGTGTTGGCGATCCCCAAGGTGAAGGTATTTGACGTCGTTCGTGGAGATTACCACTTGACGCTCGAAAGGAAGTTTGAATTTTCACTCTCCCCACATGTGTAGTGTGATCGCGATTCAAATTCTGGACGCTGTTCTGTTTTCGTCAGGCAACCAAAATTTTCCGCAGTCTGACCAGGCCCTAACAGACAAAAGCATGACGATCTGTAGTCATTGTGCGATTCTGCCTATTACTAGTAAGCACATGCGATTGTTAGATTGACAGCATGAAACAAGGTGGAGGACACTGTGTTCGAAAACAGTGACCTTACTACAACCTTCCGCGGTTGGCAGGTTTATCTAATACTGGTTTACCAGTTTTGGATCATAGTAAGTACATGTATACGCTACCCATTGCCATTGGCAGTGCACTAGTGGTAGGCATTGTTGCTGTCAATCGCCAACAGTGACATACACACATGCACGAGTCGTTGAAATGAATGCTGATGGAAACACACGGATGCACACGCACACACATGTACGCACATATACACACGCACCCTTTCACACGCACACACAGAAAGAGTGCCTCCCCGCGTGATCAGGGACTCTCTGACAGGCTTTCCGTTTAGTTGCGCCTCGTTGGTTTGCTACCGCGGCAACAGGCATCTCGCACTGGCAGTCGCAGCTATGAAGCTTCTGATGTTCACTACCACTAGTACCCTCTGAACAAAGCGCGCACTCGGAAGCATGGGAAAACAGATCAGTGCAGCCAGAAGGGCATTTTCACGCCACTTTACATCTTTATGCTGGATCATTTGCCCAGCACGCAGACACACTACAGACAGTGTAGGACATCACGATGGAGTTGTGATCGTTGCTTTGTTTCAACCGTTACTGCCAGTTACTGCAGTAACTGCTAGTTACTGTTCTTCTTTGCTGAAACTTGCGAAGCATAACGCAGTGACTGAGAGTGTCACAGTCACAACTGCCATTAGAAGTGAGTTTTACTGAGCTACTGCGAGTACAGTACAGCCTACAGGCCACAGGGAAGGATTGCCGCCTGGTCCGTGTAGCAGCCACAGCCGCGACACTTCAATTCCAACAAGGCGAGAACACTTTCATCTGCCTGCCCCGTACCGTGTGGGGGCACATTGCGATGTGCCCTAGCAAATCCACTTCTGCGGCCCGTACTGGCGTGGCGGAGTGAAGACCCCCATCATTGAACCAGGAACCTCACATCACGGCCCGTGCAACGAGTGCGCGTGAAGTCATTACGAAACTGAAAGCGAAAGTGGTAGCAGCAATATTCGCCAGCCGGCCTGTTGAAATCAGAAAGGAGAGGCGGAGGCCAAAGCAGGCTTCCGTCGCCGCGAATTTGATTCATTAGTCCACGAATGGAACGAATCTCCCTGGTGCTGGGTGTGCCAGACGTGGTGGTAGTGTACTAGTGAGCACAGACTGGCGACAAATAGACAAATCAACAGCAGTAACATCCGTACGGTAACAAAGCTCGCAGCAGTGAACGGCCAGATCAAATCGTTTCTTGAAGTGCGCAGCAGATCATAGTGCTGGCGTATCTACTCGATCGTCAAGATGGTGAACGTGCAAATAAGAGAAACACAGAATCTGTGCATGGAGAGACGGTCATCGCTAGCGTTGTTTGGAGCTAGGTTATGGCATCAGTATCAGCAGCAAGAACAGCGGAGTAGCAGTGGTGTCAAAATGCCCAGCAGAAGATGTTTATACCGGAGGGCATGGAATTCGCCAGTGGCGCTACATCGCAGGATGGTGGCCGTTCTATTCTTGCTGTTCATCGCCGTGATGAGTTTGAGCAAGACGAGTTGCAGAGCGCAGCTGAACGCAAGGGCCGACTTCCATATGAACGGCGTTGGTGGCAATATTCTGTTCTCGTGGAACCCGCAATCTCATCAGATGACCATCAACACCATGGGCCTGAAAGGACTCTCGCCACAATTATTGACTAGCGGTCTCACATGGCATGTTCACGAGTTTCCTTTCAAACTGAACTCGCCAGACCCATGCAGTGCGAGCTCCACTGGCGGACACTTCGACCCGCTGGGAAGAGCCAGTGCCCCCAACTATGCTCAGATATGTCAGTCACAAATGAGTATGAGGTTCCGTGATTGTGAGCTGGGTGATCTCAGTGGAAAGTTTGGTACGCTACAGCTACGAGAGTATGTTGAGCTTACTCCAAACCTCAGCCTCTCCGGCAACTTTGGATTCGTGGGCAGGAGCGTTGTGATCCATCGCAATGGCGCACGTTGGGTGTGTGCCAATATCGAGCCAGTATTGCAGCACACAGCCACATGTGCTCAGGCCGAAGGCTCAAACAAGAGGCGACTGCTGGTAGCGAAATTCAAATGGCCGATCGCCGGTGAGGTGTTCTTCCGCCAGGTGGACACGCGCGACCCAGCAGTACGTCCCACACCACCGATACCCGCAGGACAGCCTGTCCACACGAGTGTAGTGAACATATCCACTGTGGTGCACTCGCATCTCTACTGGCTGGACCAGACGGCTGCGATGAGCCCGGCACAGTCGGCGACTTCCTTTCTGCCACCGTCCCAAATGGCCGGCAACTCGTTCCTCCCGGCTCCGAACCAACCCGCCGCCGCCCTGCCGATGGGAATCCGGACGTTTCAGGCAGGACCCGGCGCGTCTCCCGGGTACATGTGGCAGGTGGAGGCACATCCAGTACACGAGAAGGCGCAGTTCTCGCCCAACCCGCAATCACGCTGCAGTGGTACGGGTGCCACTCTTGTGCACTTGACGAGTATGCTGGGTCCCGTAAGTGTGGGTATCGATCCAGACTCGGCCAGCACAAGCAAGTCGCTCTACACAACCAACAACAGTATGTTCTATCCGATTGATAATTTTATACGCCGCTCCCTAGTCCTCCTGGACCCAACTCGTCGGCGCATAGCCTGCGCGACAATCCATGAGGTCCAGCCGGCCACAGCGCTGGCCACACTTCCACACGACATGGGCACGGTGGAATTGTCACAAAGCAGTGAGTTTGACAATACAGAGGTGAAGGCAAACTTCAATAAGTTGTTCAACGTTGCCAGTGACTATGGAATCCGGACTCTCTCCATGAAACAGGTAATAGACAGCAGTGCCGCACACATAATGTATATGGCTACATCCAGGGAAAAATTGAGCAGTACCTTGGAGCCCCCCTCCCCGGCTACACACACAAACACAAATGCGGTGGTGATGGGAGACTGAGTCACACTGGTTCACTACATGTACATGCTTGCAGAAAGCGCGAGTAAGTGCCAGAATTCTACGCTACAAAATAAAAAGCATGGAGAACAGTACAGTCAGCCCGTGTAGCAGCACATGGTGACAACACTCAGTATCTCTAGGAAACTGTGCATTCACACTCAGGGCTGGTCCATGGGGTGGTGATAAAAGGCATAGCAGAATTCCTTCACACCTGCGTTCCCCTTCTGGGGTTCAGCTCTTGAAGACTGTGTGCACTTTGTGTTGCCTCTTGTCCGCAGCATGGCAGCCAGATGATAGTGGCTAGCCTGCAAGATTGTCTTTGTATTTGTTGGAACATTTGTCAATAATTATGGTCCTATATGTTCGGCGACGCAAACATACGGGTAGATTACTTACTCATATACTTGCAGTCGTGGATTTTGAACGTCTTTTGCATGTGAGCTTTGTGATACGCAAGAAATTCCCCGCAACATAACATTTTTATGGTCACTGAGTTTGCTTTCCCGGCACACGCTGTCCACACTGATTGCAGAGCAATGGCAGGGAGAACGCGTGCAATGAGCGCCAAACTGGACCGATGTTCAACCCTCTCAGAACACAGTCACCGCCGACCAAGAGAGGATCACCAAATCTGTATCAGGTGAGCCATCATGCGGCACCAATACAGTACACTCATACCTCGGTTATCCGAACCCCGAAGTTGCGGGCACTCCGGTCTATCGGGCACAATTTTCGGGGCAAGTTTCAGTGGAAATATTACTACTCTTTTCAGTCATTTGTCACTTTTTATGGAAATAGTGACGTCATAATTATGCCATATCTATGGCATTTTCCCCATTGAAAATGGCTACCGCCCCCCCCCCCCCCCTCCATATTGGCCTATATTCTCTGGCCACGGGAAGGTGAAATAAATAAATAAATAAATGTATGTGGTTCGGAGTTACGGATATTTCAAAGTTACGGGCAGTGTCCGGTCCCGGACGACCCGCATAAACGAGGTATGAGTACATATACATTGCTGTACCGGAATATCAGTATGAAGGCCGGCATTGGCTGTTCTAGCTATGCTAAACCATTTCTATTTTGGAAATAGAAGAGAGCGCTGGCTTTCTGTACTCCACGAGGGAGAAAGGAGAGGAATGTTGCTTACAGAATGGTTTCCCGTGCTACACATTTGCGAACAGCTGGGAACTGCTGCACGGCAGCTCAGTACGGTCAAGCTACCGAGTTTTAACTTTCAGTAACGTCGGGCTAATGGACACATACACTTGTACATGAACATCAACTCCACTGCCATGTGTTGTATTTTCAGATGAGGTTAATTGCTCAAACTGAACCCTTTTTTTTGTTTTTCAACTGCACAGATTGGTGATCTCAGTGGGAAGTTTGGCGAGCTGCGAAATCGCTTCAGCTATCGACGGCGTTTCTGTGATCCGAATCTTCCTATGTTCGGCACCAACAGTGTGGTTGGAAGGTGAGCAATAGAGTGATTCGGCTCCTTCTATCTGAGTTACTAGAGCAGTTCGATTTATCCGCCAGCCATTGTTTGCTGCATCATGAAAATTGAAGTAGTATGTCCCTATTGGGTTTCAGAAACCTAGATTCACAGAATACTTGTATTAGTGATGTGAACTCATCGTGTTACTGTCTGACATTAAAAATGAATTGGGCAGCGGTTTGTACCTTCAAGAAGTAGGACCCAGAAAGGTGGCTGTTGTTGAAACATAAGTGCATTCAATGTGTACACTGGCAGGGACAAACAGAGGTATACTGTGAACTCTTGTGTATGTTGAACAGCCTGGTAATTTGAACTAGGTTGCAATAGTCTACGGTGCACACAAGTCACTTGTTAACTCTTCCTATGTTTTCTGTCTGCTTGTGGTAATATCAACATACTTAGATCACTGGTCATAGACCATCAGACCACGGGCAACGCTCCCATTGCGTGTGCCAGGCTTGACAGGACGCCACAGCACAACAGTCGCCTACTCAAGGCAAAGGCTACCTTCACTTCACCGGTCAGAGGAACCGTACTTCTGGAGCAGGAGCAGTTTGCCGACGGGCAGCTTGGCAACACGCACATCACATCCTACGGACTGCGTAACTTCAACAGCTGGCAGGTAGATGAAGCATTATGCAGATCATGTATTGGCGTATGCCTTGAATAGCATCCAGTGATCATGCGTACAGCACTCTTGGCAGGATACTTGACTGCTAAGATGAAACACAACAGAATACATGCGTACGGTCATGGTCTGGATGACCTAGAGCCAACAGCCCTTCCCATCAAGTAACTGGGTCGCAGCGAAATATCACCTTATGTGTGCATGTTGTTGATGATTGCAATCTGATGTGATGGCCCTAACGTTATTCTTGAAATTTGTGTTGCATTTGTTTGATGGTGCACTCAATCTCTGGCCAATTAGCTATTTGGGGATTGTAGGGTCTCATCAGCAGAACTCAGAGTCACTGGCCGAACCGATGGCAATGAGGTCTTGTGAATTACAACACTGTTTTAAAGTCGGCCCAAAGCATCAATGTCGGAGTGCTCTAACTGCGAGATACAACATAAAGGGCTTAGCATGAAGGCAGCTAACGTTGACACTAAAAAGGAAATAGTGCTGGACCAAGCCAAGGCGAGGGATTATAACACAAATCTCTGAACAGCTAGCTATTGATTTTGTTAATGAAGGAAGTTCAGTCATTAACGTGTCTTTGAAATGCTTTTGTCTGTTGTTCGTACACCGTTATAGGCACTGGCTGTGTACTGTATTTCGGTTTCTTAGGTGACAATTAGGCCAGGCGCATTACTGCAAAACTCCCCAGATCCGGAAGTTCCTAACCTCCCCAGATCCGGGTACGTCCCTAATCTCCCCAGATCCGGACGTCCCTAAACTCCCCAGATCCGGACGTCCCTAAACTCCCCAGATCCGGAAATCCCTAATCTCCCCAGATCCGGACGTCCCTAATCTCCCCAGATCCGGACGTCCCTAATCTCCCCAGATCCGGACGTCCCTAATCTCCCCAGATCCGGACGTCCCTAATCTCCCCAGATCCGGACGTCCCTAATCTCCCCAGATCCGGACGTCTCTGATCCGGGTACGTCCATCTACCGGGCACCTTTCTGACCCATCTATGGCATGGAAATGGGCAATACACCATTTAATGTACTTGTGACTTACTTAATGCATTCTGTGTGTGTGTGTGTGTGTCCACTCTTGCCTGATGATGACAGACTGATGGCCATATGTACCACATACACATCAACCGCATAGGCATCCTTAGCACACAGTCCGAGATGTGTTCCAATGCACATGCTGGTCCGCACTACAACCCGTTCAACGCCAGTGTGGACGCAACATACCCCAAGCAGTGCTCACCGCAGAATCCCTACCGCTGCGAGCTAGGCGACACATCCAAGAAAACTGGGAAGATCGCAGTACGCAATGTGCCACAGTACCACATCGATCCAGATCTACCACTAACCGGGCCACACTCTGGTAAGGAGATCCATTGATCCTATTTTAAAAAAAGATTCCAAACTTGATTCGAAGTCAGATTTGTGGCACATGTCCCGATCTACCAAGTACATGGTCGATGGTGTTCTGTTATTCTGTGTATCCACTACCCGTGCTGTTGAATGCCGCGTTTGTACGATATGCAAACAAATTATTTACCCGAGTCTCAGAAAAGTCTCATTTATGTGCTATTATTGTGTAGAAGGATTCTAGCTAAAGTGGAGTGAACAAACCTGCCCAGGTCTTCCCAGAGCAGTGACCCAGTGCACTACAAGCCAGCACTTTGGCTGGTTCCATTGTTTCTACTATCCACCGTGCACATTCCAAACACACACACACACACACACACACACACACACACACACACGTGTATCCCATACTCGCACTAGCCTGCTCGTATGACTGTATGTAGTTCAAGTACCTGCTATCGGTCCTTTCTTTCGCAGCGCTGGGCCGGTCAATGGTGATACACAATCCGAATGGCGCCGCTGCAAGACTTGCGTGTGGCAATGTTATACCGGAGGATTCGCACGACGTGGTCATGACAGTCTTGGTCAGTCCACTGCAGTTTAAAGCACAGCACTTTAAGCAGAGGATGGCCGGGGCGATGCGCATCAGTGCCCAGGACGTGCTGTATCTGAAGTCCTCTCCGCTTGGACCGTGCACGGCCATCAGCTTTGCACTGCGGCATCCTCAGGCTGAGCAACTGGCGTCCACCATCCTTTTGACTGACCTGGGGCCATACACGCATGATGTGAGGTGTGCCGACCCATCGCAGCTTGTCGCTGCTACTCCGCGCAATGGTCAAAGAGATCGTGATGATGATGATGATGATAACTCCTCTGCACAGCCAGTCTCTCCCGCTACACACCTTGTTCTGCTGGTAGCGCTGTGCCTTCACCAGTTGCAATGGGGAGTTGATCTCACGATATAAACCGGCTTAGCCTAAACGTGATGTAGTGTGCAGACCTGATAGGCACATGCAATGCTTGAGTGCATGGGTTACAGGCCAGTGATAGGCACATGCAATGCTTGAGTGCATGGGTTACACACCGGTGCTAATACATAGTACATGTACTCGCATATGCCGGAGGTCAAATTGCAGTGTCACATTTTTTATTCGTTTGATGTAATTCTAGTCTTCCTGAACTGTTCGGTGCCGGTTCTTCAGTTGGTATTGTTGAGCATTCCATTCACACAAAATTAATACAGATTTGATGTGCGGTTCAAACTGCAAACTGGCTGGTTCAACCCTTGATCACAGTACTATTATAATAGCAGTCTGTATGGACTGTAAGCCACCAGTTCCGGCAAGTTCTGTTGAGCAAGATTAGTAATGAATTATGCCGATGTCATGCATGTATCATGCCCGGTACTGGTTCCATGCGCACTGTAGTCATTGGGCACATGCGAATGCTGCAGGCCTACCCGGACTGTGATCATGGTGATGCCTATCCTGCTTTTCTACCGTGTTGAAATCATGGTGCAGAGGAGTGAATAGGCCATAGTAGCATGCGCCACCATCATCTTACATCATAGCAACACTAGGTCATCATGGTCATAGTGACACATAGCACACTGGCACATTGTATTATCTTTGTCTGATATCAGTATTTGAAATTACTGCCCCCGGTTATTTCCTAGTATTCTGGCATCAGCTTTACATTGATTAACTCAGTACCAACACAATTCAGTTCTCTAGCTTTTTATAATTGTGACAGCCCTCTTTCATGCAGCAGCATTTTAATATATAGAAAAGATTATCCTGTGCTACTGGCTTATGCGAATACAACTGCCCCCGTTTGATTAATTTGTCCAACACCGTTTTGCACGAAAGCGGTTCAGTGTCGCTGAGCGTAATGTTTCATTGAACCTTGTGTGGAGTATAATGAAACCTGTATTACATGTATTCCCATTAGTTTGAGGGAGTTTCAACTGTGACAGGAAAAGTCTGAAGAATACATGTGCGTTGACTGTTACCATCAAGGACCCCCTCTTATGGCCAGCGATGCTCTACCGTAAAAACGTGTTCTTCAGAATTTGAAACTCACGCTTCGTATTATACTCGGTCGTATTTTTAAGTTTTTGAGAAGTCTTATTTCGGACAACCAACCGAGATAATCTCAGTGCTGGATTCCAGGCAGCCTCACCCTGCCCATTGCCTTTCAGGAGCCTGCGGCAGCGCCGTGTGTGCACAACTTCCACATAATCCCGACCAGCCAGCGGGCTGAATCAGCCGTGGAGTTGATATGGGAGTTAACTCAGGGTTTCGCTATTCGCTGGTTAATACACGGTCGGACATGGAGAATCATTCCTTTCAGGCCCGCACGAGCACACATAGCAGTTATTGTAGCAAGAAGCGGGCGGCCAGGCGGGTGTATGTCTGTGTGACCCGACCCCGGTAGCCTGATCCGTCAGTGGGGCACTGTCCCAGGAAGACACTGGTGCGGGGTTCGAATCCCACCCCGATGGATCCTTCTTTTCGCGGCAACTTGTGACATTCGTACGTCATACCACATGAGAATCACCATGGCGAACGCCAATTATGATGGATGGGGAGTGGCGTACTCATGGTGACTTGGCAGGGCACTGGTGTAGCATGTGTTTTGCCCTGATGAGCGATCGGAATGTAATTGGCTATCACCATAGATGTTCTCATTTGACCCGTACACAATATGACGATTGTGATCAGTTTTGTCCACTGACTGTGTGGTGCATGCAGGTACTGATAGTACAGTGCTGCTCAATGAAATCCAGTCGCGTCACTCAAGTTTGTACCTTGCATCATTTCGCAGCCCAGTGTTCGCAGGTCTAGGGCTGCGCAACGCCCGGCGCGTACTTAAGTGACACGGCTGGATTTCATTGAGCAGCACGGTAGGTATAGAGGTCATGCGAAATGAATGATTTCATGTGGGGGGGGGGGGGGGTCTGCGGAACCGCATAGACTATGGGCGCTATGTATGCAGCGTGAGTCGCTAATGCAGCGCTGTGCTGCGACTTTGCCAAAGCATTCTCAGCACGTAATCGGCATTAATGGGCCGTAACGGCGCATACTTGTGACCTCTATCTCATCTCAGACAATACCGGTATACATGTATTATGCTTGTACATGTATTACAAGGTAGTGGATGTAAATGTATTGCACACTTGTTGTTACCTTATTTTCCGGTGTATAAGCCGCACTGGAATAAGCCGCACCCCCCGGATGATTTTTACACATACATAATCATACGTAACAGTACATATAAAGTAAGTTTACCGTACTTGCATAATTATCATGATTATGGATGGTATTAACTTGAAATGTTACACTCTCAGTTACTGTGAGGCAGTCTCCCAAGCCAAGACGACGAGAGCCAGTGCATCTGCTTGTACTGCCGGGCCACTCGGGGCCAGTCATGTACTTCGACTGGCATGATGCGGTGGGCCTATCTACTGATGAGTACTGACTGGATCCATGCCATGGACCGGTCCATACCATGCATGCGTGACCAAAACTGGCAAAAGGCAAAACTCACCAAGCCAACCATGACATAATGATGTCGTCATGCGATCACACTTATCTGATCAGTGATCATCTTTTCCTTTTTCAAGTGCGTGTAGATCTACGCAGCGACGCTTTCAGGCGTGCGATCTCCGATCTGGCCCGCCAGCACCCAGCCATAATGCGTATATGCATCGATCTACGTTGGGGTGAAAACTATCTAAAAATCCAAAGCCAAACGAACAAATCACGTCTTTCATGCCAAAGCAAAGGCAAGGGAAAGCTAGTTTGTCATTTTGATGTTGGTCGTTGAAGGTTCCCAGCGATTCGTTGACTTGCTCCCGTTGTCCCCCTTTTTCAGCCTCTGCACTAGTCGTTGCGTCGGCTCCCATCTCGATTCAGGTGAGCCAACCCCACTTGATATAATGCCAGAATGGACGTGGACGGTATATTCCAAGAGACATTTGGACCCGAAAATGCGCTCGCCGACGTAGCTAGCCCGGGTAATAGTGTTAGAAGCTCGATTACTACTAGTATGAGATCGGAACTGCTCCCGGATGGGCTGCAGGATAGCTTCGCTGAGTATGAGCGATTTTCAGCATTGTCCACCTCCTATTTGTCGGAGATCAGCGAAGTGCCTCTGACCGTGGATTTGGGCGATCCGTCTGCAACTGTGTTCAATGTATGTGTGGTGGACGCGGCAAATGCCAGCAGCATCACCAGTTCTCGCTTGTCCCGCTCTCCGCGGAAACCCTCATCCTCCTACGCGGCAGCGCCGAAACATGGCTTCATGCTTGAGGACCTGGTGAGCGAGGCATCTTTCGAGGTCGACCCGGAGATCTACACCGACGGCGCCGACCTATTGAATGTTGAACTGTCGCCTATGAGCGAGCAAAGCTCAGCCTCACTTATCCCACTCTATGCGGATGAACTCCCGTCTCCCCTTGCGCTTGCAGCGTCGTCGAGTGCGGAGTCCTGTACGTATAACAGCGCAGCCAGTGCATTGCTGCAGAGCTTGCATTTAGTGAACAGCAAACCCGTGACTAGTGTTAGTCTGACGGACTCAGTACAGTCAGCCATACCAAGTCCAGACAGTACAGTTGGGTCTAGTGCAGCTGCTTCGGTCGCCACGAGCCGTTCAGGAACCTTTCAGCGCGGCAAAACACTGTCAGATTTCAACAACACGGCAGAGTATGTGGCGTACCAGGATCGGCGACGCAAGAACAACACCGCATCACGCCGCAGCCGCCACAAGAACAAGCAACGAGTCAAGGAGACCGAAGACGAGGTGCAAGAACTGCGGCAGGAGAATGCAGACCTGCGCAAACAGCTGCGCATCATCACCGAGGCATTTGAAAACCTCCGCGAGCGATTCAAAGAGCAGCCACCGGTGATGCAGGACGGATCGTCGGACGTATGACGCAGAGCGCTCGCTAGGAACGGCAATTATTTCCAACATGTCAGCCCTTGTACATGCACCTTTGTCTTTGATGACAGTCACTGTTGCCATTGAATGGTGCACATAGTCCTGGTCATGCATTAGTGTGCCCGTCTCTTTCTAGCACGGTTTTAGCAGTACGAGCCAACTAGTTCCCTGTTAATTGTGACTGCATACTGTAGCACGTTTTTAGATCCGAATTTCATCTTTTCATTTCCAATTTTTTCTAGACTTTTTTCATCCTATCAATATCCTGTGTGGATTATGGTGTCCTACATATAGGTTTTAGTGGAGTTCCTTTTCTGGCAGTACCGTGATGTATGCTGCTGATTGAATAATACCAGTGGCTCGTGTACATCCTGTTGTGCTGGCTTTTGTTGACCGGCGTGACCGTAGCTTCTGGTGATGTTGCTATTCACGCACGTTTGTTCCGGTCTGCTACACATGTACTCCTAGGACGGGTGTTTTTTTTTCTCCCCGAGAAATTCTTTTCCTTTCTCAGTGTGTTGCCTTGATTTCTACGTGCAGTGCGCTGTTGGGTCAAGCTTGTTCTTACTCATTCTTGACGCCATCCTTTGATGTCTGCTCGGAGTTGCGTTTTTACCTCATACCTTTGCTGTGGTATTGTGCATCAGGGTCCGCATCAGCAGTGAGTGAATGGGTAGCATCCTGGGAGAAGAGTGATAAGAGTTTGGGCCGGTGTACATGTATGGGCCCAAGCAGGTCGTACATGTCCCTGCTCAAATTCTACGTTGTAGCTTTGCATGGTCAGCGGATGGTCAATCTTGGGTTTCATTTGGTGCCCAGCGATATGATGGACCCGGGTTAGTAAAGGGCTGGCTGTAAAAATAGAGTGAAAAAAAGTTTTAAAACATTTCAAGTACTTTTAATGCTTTGCACCTTTTGCTTGTAGACACTGGTACACGGTGAAGTATAGAGGTTATGCGAATGATTTCATGGGGTGAGTCAGCGGACTCCCTAATGGGGCGCTGAGTGTACAGCGTTAGTCACTAGTGCAAGTGCACTAGTGCAGCGCTGTGCCGCGAGTCCGCAACTGATGATGTAATCGCATAACCTCAATAATACATGAAATAAGGGGCCGTCCGTAAATATCGAACTTTTTTCACCAAACGAATTATTTTAGTTTAGACTCAACCCCTCCCTCCCTCCCCCTCAGAACGTAAAAAATGTTGACATACATGCATATACAACAGCCATGTACATGAATCAATGTTTTCTGAAACGAAATTGGTCAACCCCCTCCCACCCCATAACGAAATTATTTCGTTTTGTGAAAAATGTTCGATATTTACGGACGGCCCCTAAATAGCAGTAAAAAAGGAGAAGGTCAAAATGTTATGAGTTATGACTAACTGTCCACCAACGGAACCAGATCATATACAGTCAGCGAGTGCGACAACATGGCACAAAACTGACAAGGAGTACTGAGACATTCAGCGACCTGACACCTAGCTCCAACACTATAATTATGATCTGCCGGTTACGCTGGTGGACAGTTAGTCATAACTCGTAACATTTTGTCCTTCTCCTTTTTTTATCATAAATAAATTGGCTCGCCACCCGAGTTCAAAATAAATATAATTCACATTAAAATTATTAAATTATTATATCGTATGCTATTATATATGCATATTCTCATGCTTACGGTATTATTATAGAGTTGGTTTCAGCCACTTTATGATGCGCTCTCGATTGACCCACTCCACTTGCACCTCGCCACCATGGCTGGGACAATTCTGTTGAGATCTGATATCATCAGACTCTCGCAAGACATGCAGCTGCTTCGCTTCAACAGCCGGGGGCTGGTCAGTGGAAACAGTAGACATTGAATACATCATGAAACCGTGAGGTGAATGAATCATTCACGGATGATACATGATTGTATGAATAGGCAAGAACTGGCGGAATTGCGCACTTTCTACATAATAGGGTGCTACTAAAATTTTCAACTGAGATGTGTTTTACATTTATAAAAGAAGCTGTGTACATCAGAAAGCATGATGAACATATTTTTCGGATCAGCCTGATGTTTTAGTTAAACAATCCCTGCTCAAATGAAATCTCTTGGAGAGGAATTGGCCGCCTTCCGGATTCTAGGCTTAATGCCACGCATCATGGCTTGGACGCAAATCCAGTCCATGTTTGTGGGCAAGACAGTTCCGGATGTGGCGATCAAACTGCGCCTCGGTTTAACCTTCCCAAGCGTCCTTGTACACAGTAGACTTCAGTATTCCTCCAAAATCCTCTGATCGACCTCAGCCCTGGAACATTTTTTTTGGGGGGGGGGGGGGGGGTTCTGCTGTTCCTGTCTTCTCAAACCTTTTCAGAATAACATACATATAGGCTTCAATGAGTTTCTTTTCCGATGATTTCCATCTTTATAAAATGCTTCACAGTACTGAAACAATTTGCCATGGTTCCTATGTTGTTCAAAGAACTGCACACCAGGCTTTCTGCAATGTTCTGCATTCAAGCCCTCCATTTTCACAAGTGAAGACTTGTCAATAATCTCTTTGGTGGTGTACACTGTACATGTACATGTACTTGCTTCCTATTGCAGTGTGCAGAACTTTACCAGAAGGTCATGGTCTAAAGGTCAGAGTTTGACCTTTTGAACTCAGTTGAAATTTAGCAGCACCCCGTTATAAGTAGGACATACCCGAGGGAACAGACGTGAAGACCTACGTGTACATGGTGTACGTGTAGAGATAATTGACAGGAAATGAAATTTTCATTTTTTCATGGAGTTCCCTTTTAAAACTGGAGGTTGTGACAATATCAAATCTCAAAGGAATTGTCCTTCTTATTGTGGTGATGTGCAAGTGCGGTGGGTCGGCCGAGCAAAATTGACTGTTTCAATGTTTGAACGAAATGTCGAGACTGAAGTGAATTGTGGCCGTGAGATAATTTTGTTTGTGCTTCAACCGTGCATGTGCAGCGTTTCACCCCAAACAGACTTGCCACAAAATAATTGTTTAACTCAGGTACTGACTCTACTGAGCCAATATTAAAGGTAGTGAAGAGAGGGGACACATGGATACGAGCTATGAGCAACTGTCCACCAAAGTAACTAGATAGCATAGCATATGGTTCGGTTTTGTACAATTAGTTTCCACAAAGCTTCTTCTCCCTTCGATACTTCATCATCGATATTTCTGAACCTCCCGTGCTGTTTTGGTGCTCCGAGTTGTAGTTGGGCTACATTGTCAAGTATCGTATTGCTCTCCACATCATCCAGTAACAGTCGACATTCTTTGTTGCCATGGGACTTAGCTTGTACTCATATTCCTTGCGCTCACCTTACCCTCTTTGGTCTTTCCTTAAAGGGGAAGTTTAGGCAAAAATTAAAATTTCACCAGTTGTAGTCTTCGGGGTGCTGAGTCGAATGATCGTGGTCCGAGGAAGCTGAGACGCTCCCTTCCGACTTGAATCCCAATCGAACTCGCGCACTTCCACCGAAACTAGGTGACTGCGCCCTACTAGATGGGGATTTGTATGCAAAATGTCACTAAAAGCGCCATTTCGTTCTTATAAAAGCACGGATGACCGCGATTGGCCCATATGTTGTAGTCTTCAGGACGCTGGGTCGACTGGTTTTGGTCCGAAAAGGCTGCGATGCAGCGTTCCTCCTATATTCCCAATCGAACATGGTTGAACAAGCGGTCACGTGCTCCTGCGTACGCCAGTCACCTGGTCACCGTGCCTGCAGGTTACTTACTAGCCTGTTTGACCTTTTTTGGGTGCAGTCCTGTCACTCGAGTTGAACTCGAGTTGAACCTTGGTGTGAAAATTGTCGCCTGCTGGCGTGGTGACCAGGTGATTTGGGCACCCAGGAGCACGTGACCGCTTGTTCAACCATGTTCGATTGGGAATAAAGGAGGAACGCTGCATCGCAGCCTTTTCGGACCAAAACCAGTCGACTCAGCGTCCAAAAGACTACAACATATGGGCCAATCGCGGTCATCCGTGCTTTTATAAGAACGAAATGGCGCTTTTAGTGACATTTTGCATACAAATCCCCATCTAGTAGGGCACAGTCACCCAGTTTCGGTGGAAGTGCGCGAGTTCGATTGGGATTCAAGTAGGAAGGGAGCGTCTCAGCTTTCTCGGACCAAGACCATTCGACTCAGCACCCCGAAGACTACAACTGGTGAAATTTTAATTTTTGCCTTAACTTCCCCTTTAACCATGAACCTTCAAGTTAACCTGGAAGGCTGTGTTGGTCTGCGCATCGGAGATATGTTGGAGCTACATGTAGGTGTTACGTCGTTGAATGTCTCAGTACTCTGTCAGTTTGGTGCATACTCGTCGCCCTTTCTGACCGTATGCTATCTAGTTACAGTGGTGGACAGTTGCTCATAACCCCTATTCATGCGTCCTTTCTCTTTACTACATTTATAATTTTCCATGAGTATCAGAGAGCGTCAGAGCAGTCCTTGGGAATGGGAGAGGAGGAGAAGTCAGGGACAGAATGATTTTGGCCAGAGGTTGAGTCTTGTACGGTGCACTGAGGAGTCACCCAGAACATGCTCCTTTTTACAGGAGTAGATTTTGGTGCAGAATGGTAGCATAGAAAATTAATGGAAATTTGATGGGTTTGATTGCAAACATTTGAAAAAAAGAGGTAAAATCAAATTTTGCGGCACTGCACTGTATACGATATAATCACCTAAATCACCACAACACGGGAGCTCCCCAGAGCTAGAGCTATTCTTTGTATGAATGGACTGCAATTACCCTAGTAATCAGACCAGCCGCTCATATCTCTCTTATCCGGGTGGTCCGGGACCGGACACTGCCCGTAATTTCGTAATTTCCACAACTCTGAATCACCTACAATTCAATGGAGAAGTGCCAGGGATCTGGTATATGACGTCACCATTTCCACAGAAATTGGCAAAAGAGTAGTATTTTGCCCACTAAAACACAACCACATGGTGCCCGTAACTTTGAGGTCCGGATAAGAAAGATTTGAGTGTATACTTTTATTCTTGTCCTCCTTCCGTTTTTAGCTGTTCGTGTGCTGCTATGTACATGAGTGCCAACAAGCAGCAGAACATGTCCACCAGGGTGCAGCAGCATCAAGGAAAACTGGGTAGAACTTAACACGCAGTGTGTATTTCGCTCCCAGACCACAGCCTGCACTACTTACTAGTTTATAAGCCGGAACACATTCAAGTTGGTATAGGCCATGACGAACCATAGTAATGCCATATATTTTGTCCCCGAGTTCTTCATCATAGGTGAACCTCATCAGTGTACAGAAGGGATGGTCCATCATGGTATAGCACCTGGCAAAGCCAGGGACCGAAGTGCTCCGTTGTGTTTTCCATGTACCGTGTTTCTTGTCTGTTCGGATGTTCATAAATGTCCAAGGGCAATACCGGTATCAGCTCTAGAATCTGATAAATAACTGAAACGCAACAACGCGTGTATATTACGCAGTGAAGGAACGACGAACACGTACAGCCTACCAAATCTGTGTACATTCTACGAGTCCCTGATGTCAATGTAGCATTGCATTGCATCACTAAACCCCAGACCCACTGAACAGTCCATGGTGGCGCCGGAGCAGATCATCAGGGTT